CCTTTTTACATATATTATTTCAAACATTCTTTACACAATGAGAGCGATTTGAATAAGTAAAACAAATAAAAATCAATAAAAAAGCAAAAAAAAAACAAAAACTTACTGTTTTTTTTTTCTTCATATAAAAACAACATTGCTTGACAAACTTACGCCGGCATACCCGATGATTTTAAGTAATTCCGGCATATATATACCAGCATATAAACTTGTTATCAGATTAATTATACCGTCATATTATAATTATTCCGTATCAAAATTTCGTATTATCATAATGTTAAAATAATCTTCTTATAATAAGGTACGCAAATATACCATTTGCTTTTTCCATCAAATATAATTAAATAATGTACATGTATAATCAGTGATCAGATAATAAAGCTAAATGATTCTGATATGGAGATAAATGCGGCAAAGGATTTTGTTTTGATCATTAATTAATCCAGACTGAGAACAATAATATATTATCATTTTTAGAAATGAGGCCCTTATTCAATTATTCATCCGTCTGCGTTGAATTCCCTCACTCATCAATGAGCGTCGACTTACATTGTTGAATTGTTTTTAGAGTCAACGAGTTGTCAAAGAGAGTGTTTTTGTTCGTTTGTCTTCTTGGGTTTTAAGACACACCGATTGTAACCGTCTTTGCTGTTTGTTTTCCAGCATTACTGGAGAAGGAAGACCCAAGGTGTCCATTTTGCATTATTTTAGGAACGAGCGGGAAACTCAGCTGAACCACCAGTTTGTCATAAGCTAGTTTCTTCACATGAAAGAATCCAAAGTACGTGACAGGATTTTTACCTACAGCGATCAAAGCAAGTGATATGAACCACCTTCACCACTCGGCTACGGAGACACCTTCCTGTTCCCACCTGCCACAACCCCACAAAATTAATCGGTTAAAGAGAGAACAGTGAGGATCTGGTAATTTAGCTGATGCTTTTGAACTAAAAACAATTATTTATTAAATCTAGGCCTGATGTTTTTATAAAGGTGCAGTGTGCGACTTAATATATCGATTCAAAAACATTTTCATGTTCATGTAAAATAATCATAATTGAGTGCTATAAATGAGATTAAACAGTACGATTTGCAGTAAAATTTAAATAAAGGAACTTAAAATATATCAGAGAATAAATAAACAGGGGAAAGTAACGTTCACTTAAAGCATCCTATACCGACACTTATATGACGATATAACTAGGAGTGACGCACAATATAGGATCTCAGAAATAATTATAGGAGATATGCATTATTCCCTAGTCCACTGATGGGATTTCGTGCTATATTATATTAATTAAGCGGATAAACTATATTATACTTGTCGCCCTGAAGCATGTGTAACATCATGTAATTAGGATTTTCCCGTAATCTGCTTACATATAAAACCTTAAACATTTGCTACAATCGATTATATTATTAAGAATGAACAATTCCAAAGTCTTAGGTCACAAATGTCCTTTTGTGCAAACTGGGGCTTATTTGCATAGCGAAAGTAGGACTGTACGCTTTTCAGCATTTATTCTGCTTGTCCCTATGACACTAATTAGCGGTCAGTTAATCATGCTGTTTGCTATTGCAAAAAGCGAAAAAAAATTAAGTGAGAAATAATATCTTAAGATATTGAAAAGACATATTTAAGAGCACGTAATAACCCATAATTAGTATCAGACATCGTCTTTAGTACATCTCTTGTTTTGTATTTCAGCGGCTTAATAAATTATCTTAAAGTGACATTATGCTCATATTTTCAACTTTTAACAATTATATCATTTGTGTTCGTCGCAACTTCAAGAGCAGGAAAACAAAATACATTCAGCCCGGACGAAAAATGATATCTGAGGCTTGTGAAATGATATTTCTGACTTGGTCTTTTTGAAAATTTCAAACCAAGACTGTGCAAATACTGGGTCTTTGATCTTTTAATTGAGGCTAACTGCACAGTCCGTTGATAAAGTCAAAATGTTTTCATTGAATAGCCATAGACAATACTAGCTATACACGAATGATGGTTGACAAGTTTTTTTTTCCTCTTCAGGATTGAATTCATTGAAGAAGGTAATCGCTCAGGGTTTACAGGGAACACTTTTAATGTAGGAACAGGTTTAAGGTCAAGTGTTATGTCTCTTAATGTAATATTTGGTACACCAAACACCTTGGCAGCCTCTCAGACTGAGGTACTCTTCTCAACCACAACTCTTTATGCCAAATACAGCCGAGCGATTTGTGTCTTCTGCTTTGCATGTTATTGGAGCTAAATTGTGGCATCTTTGTCATTACCATAAGTACTTAAGGATCTAAATGAAATAAAAGATTAAGTTCTCCTTTTGTGTTATCTTTAGTATAATTTAATTTGATTTTTCATGTTTTACTGTATTATTGTTTTATCATTTTTTGGGACCGGAAGTCAACGCTTGCAGAATCAAAGTAAACACAGCAAAGTGAATATAGATACAGGTTAGCGTTTTAAGCTTTATTAACAGAGGCGGTTTTTTTATTTATCACATATCGAAATAAGAACTTTCAAAGCGTAGAACACTCCTAGTTTTAAATCCGTGTATCATTTTCTTCCATTACGGTCTGCACATATATTTTTATGATACCTAATTACTTTTTTCTGTTTTTTATTTGATATTTTTTTAATAAATTAAAATACAATCTGTATGTCTATTATAATAATATTGAAATACAATTTTGACAAATTAAAGGAGTTAAATATATTTTATTATTTAGTTATTTGTTGTTGTTATTATCATTCAGGTCAGAAGTCACTGTTAAACCTGTAGATGACTTGTTAAGCGACACCCGTACTTGGCTCAGAGGAAGGAAGAATACATGGGCAATACCATAACATAAAGTCTGCAACCTTTTCTGTATTGAGACTTCATGGTATACGGTATTTTTTCGTATATATAGAAATTGTTTGAAAACCAGTTTTATCGTTGTAACAGACTCCCATTCGTGTGTAATTATTAAAATATGTTTGATAGAGTGTTTACAGGGGCGTATCACGTTGGGGTGGGGGTGGGGCAGAATCTGACCCCAAGCGTCTACGAAATTAAACAAAAAGGACAATCATGTAGCGCTTTGGTAATAAAAAACGAACTGGTGAACTTTGCAGGAAATGAAAAGCAGACATATTCGACAATAAATTGCACTCTTTAAAAAGAATTGTTATATCATAGTATTATCATTTTGAAATTGTCTTTTTCGTAGGTTCTTTTTGGTAAAATAATAGCTCCTTTCAAATTTACGGCCCTGATTGACATTTTTTAACGTAAATTTTTAAATCGACCCTGAAATTGGTCTTTTTGAAATTCATCCCATTTTTCATTCTAGTGCGTGTTCTACTTTCAGTATTTATCTAGGACTTAAAATATAACTACTGTATCTTAAGTCCCAGGTATTAATAGAAACCATTTTTTAATATGACACGAAAAAATGCATGTGGTATTACTATATTAGTCCATTTGTAACTATTTTATATACTGTTTGTACATTTGTTACAATTATAACAATATAAAAAACAACAGCCTTTGTTCATGTTGACAAATGTTTTGTATGTTCCAAAGAAAATACATTTAATATTCTAACCTATAGCAAGCCTATCAAAGTTCATGATGAACAATGTCTTTCGTCCTCCTATTCATCTATGATATATTCTGGTAAAATCCAAAGCATTGGAAAGAAAATCTGGTCATCACATGTCTCTTAGTTTCAAGCTTGGGTGCCCTTTGATGCTTTGCATCAATGCTTTTATTGTTTTATCATGATATACCACTTGCTGCGAACAATTTACGGACATTTTGAAAAATAAAGTCGGTGAGGGTTTTTATTTTGGCTTATTTACATAAGGATTTTTATATTTCTTACCATGCTAAGGTGTTGTTATTTGTAGAAAATGAGTAGCCTTATAGGTGCAAAAGAAAAATGTACATAGTTTGATATTGTTATCATCTAATATTACTGACTACTGTAAGGACACAAACAGAACAATGTTGCACCACTGTCATGTCACATTACAAGTCTTGTAAGTCTTGCTTGTATTGGAATTTCTTTCCTTACAAGGTAGGCATCAGTGAAAGCATATTTTTTTTTATGATTTAATAACTGGCCCTCTCTCATGGACAATGCAATGACTATAATTATGCAAATCCAAATGTTCTAAATAGAAAATGACCAGTGTGTAGATATGCTTTGGTAAGGTATCTGTAATGAGCGCATAATTTTTTGCGCGCGGAGCTTCTCAATGTCTGCATTGCAGCAACATTTTTACTTGTTATAGCTTGATTTCAAACACGATGATGGACAATTTTTTCCTCTCCTAAAATTAATAAGAATTGGAAGGCAACCCAGAATGAGTAAGCACATGTCGTCAGTGACGATTGACTACAGTTAGATAATAAACTTGATTGGTATATTTGTAATTCGCAAATAAGGACAATTTCATTGTTATAGACGTACTGTTCATTGACTGGAGGAACTAGCAACAATAGAATTGTTTCCCCATTTCATAAACTAATATGAACGGGTTAAAAATGTCAGCATTCAAAGAATCCGTAATAATGATACTTTTTGTTCAAAATATTTCAAGTTTGAAATGTTTCAAGGGATTTAGTGTTATTATACAATTATTGACTAGTGAGCCATTGAATATGATGTGATATTCACCGGCAGATCGCCTCGGTCAATATGACTTTCTGCCGGTGAATATCACATCATATTCAATGGTTCACTAGTCAATAATTGTTTTATTGTATGAATAGGCTAAGAAATTTAAAAAAAATCATAAAAGTACAACTTTATAATTATACATGTACAAATTTTGCCTCGTTTAAGCGCGGGAAAAAAGACGCACGTGTTAGGCGTGCAACGACTACGCGAACGCTGCGCATACAAAAATGATTCAAGTTTATACTCATCATTGCGGTGTAACCTTTAAGTATAATAGTAAGGTATTGATATTTTAATCGAGAAATATGCCATAAAGAACAAAAAGCAACAATTATTTTTTAATTAACACGCGTAATTAACAGTCTACGGTGTATGATCATTGAATATGAGTCTCAATCTATTTTTAGACTGGGAAAATCCAATTCAGCCAGTGAATATGATACTACACCCAGTAAATATGATTTTATAAAAAGTTCTGTTGACTACTGTTTGGACCAATGAGATTGCAGCTTTATTTAGATCATATAATAAAGACATTTATCACTTAGGGTCATGCATGCCAAATATCAACATTGTGCGTCGTTTGAAAATGTAACAGGCGTCGAAACTAGCCCCTTCGAGGAGAACATACTGCTTTTGTAGGTAGAAATGCATTTCGAGGCTGCCGATGATGGTAGATAAGTTCTGACAGTCCTTTCAGAATGAATCTCACTAATGCTAACTATATGTTTCTTCATACCTTTGAACAAGCTAAGCTTTATTATCTTCTGTTTGAAATACGTACCTTGAATCAAAACTGCTGAATTTATGTCATGGATCTACTCTGCTTTAAATTTAAGAATAGTCCATTTGAAGTTTTAAGTATTTTAGTATCAGAATACCAAATATTAAGCTTCCAATAGTATAGTACCTGACCAGACTTCAAGAATGTGTAGACTCGTCTGATTCAACACGAATGACAGCCCGTGAAGCTTTCAAGTAAACTAGTCTGTATTTAAATAAATAATGTACATTCTAGAAAACATATCAAATAGGAAAATAATTTACTCCATCACCACGTCTTATCACATGGATACGGAATGGTTTTATCACATTCGGATAATCATTTATTTCGTGGAATAACCGTCTTATTATTATACTTAACACTGCTTGATCATATCTATGGCACTGAGCGTCAGTTGTAATTTTGTTATTGCACCCTAATTTGGCACCGGCCGGTGCCATACAGTCTTGGACAAGAGCGCACGAGACCCATTGGTCTACAATAACACTAGTCACGTGATCAAAGTGATACAACACGAATCCGGCTTCCAGTTCACCAAAGTAACGATATTTACACATGTCCTCTCCTAAATAGGCAACTGTACGTTTGTCTGTATGCTGGGCGACAGATAGAGAATTACCGTAAGTGAAATACAGGACGGAGTTGTCCAAACTATACTTTAAAGGTAGGTCAAGGTCATTTGTTGTAAATCGTGCCGAGCTGTCCATATACCATACCCAACCATATTCCATTAATAACATCTGAAAATATAAAATAACATTAATATACTTTAATTAAAGTGCAAACATTAAGTATAAAAACACTACATGTACTTCTTTTTTTATTATCTTTTTTAATGTTTAAAACAATTTCCAAAACAACAACAACGACAAATATGAGAAAAATTAACTATACAGTTTACATGTTCACAGATATATCTGACTATCGATGTCTTTTTTTAATTAAATAGCTTACGACATTTCTATAAATCTGCAGCTTCAATTGCCTCCTAAAATCTATAGGTTTCAACGCATTCTTTAATTTAAAGCTCTCACCATCTTCTATAAATATACAGATCCCAACATCTCCTTCAATTCTACAGTTACATATCTAATCTAAAGCTTTCAATCTTTAAGAACACTATGAATCAAACGCTACATTTAGAAAAAGGCTAAATGAAAATATTTGTTTTTGTCATGGTTTATATATGTGAAATGCAAGAAAAAGAATGAAACACCGGGGGAATATCACTGTTCAGCTGAAACAATGCAGCGTAAACATGTTCCGGGAGCAGGTGTAAGATTCTTATAATCTACAGCTTTTGATATCTATTTTTTCTAGGAATGTCTTTATGTCCGAAGCTTTCTTAAAAAGTTAGACCAAAATAAAAAAGTATAACATGAATTACTGAATACTAAAATATAAATATCATATTTTCAAAATAAGAATAAGTTTAATATAAAATAATTTAGCAAAGTATACATCATAAATTTGCACAAAATAACAAAAATGTTATAAGTTAGCTTACCTTCACAATAATTGGTTTCCATGTGTACGTTTTTAACAGGCTAACATGTTTCGGTAAATCACTAAATGGGAATTTTCTTACTTCACACCGGCAGTACTTTTCAAGCTGAAAATAAAATAATTTTCTTTATTATAAATATAAAAGCCTTAAGAAAAGAAATGAATTATAACGAAAAATAAATTTGCAAACATAATAAAATTTGTGTTAACATGTGTTAATCTTTGCTAGAATACTGAAAATATCATCATCATCATCATCATTATCATCATTATCATCATGATCATCATTATCATCATCATCATCATCAACAACAACAACAACTGACATTCTAAACCAATTACAAAAACATATGACTATGAATGAATCAGTTTGATGCTGATTGAATGTCGTTTATGATGACTATAAATATAATTATGATGTAAATGATGATAATGGTTGTGGTTTTGATTATGATGATATTGTTTATGATAATTATGACGATAATTATGATGTAAATTATGATGATGATGACGATGATAATGATAATGATCGTGATGATGATAATGATGATAATATTGCTGCTGCTGCTGATAATGATGATGATAATGTCGATGATGATAATGACACTGACGAAGACGTTTATAGTGATGCATGATCTTTCATCTATGTAAAACTAGCATAATTATTGCGACATCAAAATGTGCCGATGGTAAAAGGTATATAAATAGGTCTACTTTCTGTTTTAGCAAGAAAGGTTAACGTTCAAATATTTAGGCTCCCAAGAAGGGTACATTGATCGGAAGTAACACGTGCTTGTAATCACAACACAGGTTATAGTTTAGGCTCGCAAGACAGGGTACAGTGATTCGTTTATATTTTGTGGTTTCTGTACATAATATTTGTCGAGCTTACAAAAGTTTTTTTAAAAAACAATTCAACACTGTCATATCAAACAGAATCAAAGTTTCTAAGAATACTACCATCGACCTCTTCCAAAAAGCTTATGTGAATTTTATAATTATTTTGACAATTCTTATCCAGTCAAATACAAAAATATTACTGCTATAAGTTGATCACTTAATAAGCCCATGTCGTAATATATAATTTTGACGTCTCCGTATTTCGGCATCAAAATTTCATGAATGGATTTCAGCAGCCCTTGGGACACTTTGAAATGGCCGGAACTTGCTGCCGTTACTAACACCGGAAATTTAGTCATCATCTGCTTTGGTTGCGTCAAATTCCCGCCAATTTTCAAAAAGTATTCCGTTACATTGCCACGTGGATAATTTGAAACAACTTTTAAGTTTTCCACAAATGTTGGTTCGAACCAATGCTCACATGCACTTGTGTTTACTGAAAATGTAAAACGCAATTACATGTACATAAATCATTTCTACTTATGTTACTTAAATTCTGAATCAATGTTGATGTTTTTTTTATTTAATTCTAGCTGTAGAATAAAGTAAATAAAAAACAATATATTGAGGATATTCAAGTTTTTTCTATAAATACATGATTTATTTTCATCGAGTGGTATGAAAATAAATATTTCATGAGTGGCGGTAGCCACGAGTGAAATATGGTAATTTTCATGCCACAAGATGAAAATAAATCATGTATTTATAGAAAAAACTTGAATTTTCTGTTTATTATATACATTTTTCTCTTTTTTGCGATAAAATTGGAAAGACTTTCCCTTAAATTTTGTGTACTGGCAGAATTTAAAAGAAAGTAGTCCGGCAAGACACCAGTGAAAATACGGAAAATATGTTTCACTGCAGTGAAAAATAAATTTTTACAGTGAAAATACAGAAAATGAAAATACGCATTTTATTTTATCAATATTTCTCAATATTTCATTTATAAGTATATAATAAACACATTATCTTCCGGCAGAACATATTAAAATCTTATAACTTATTTTCATTTTTATACCCTGTAGTTTTAAGCATGCGATTACGTACTCTTACGTCGATATACGTCAATTTGGCATTAGCGAGATTAAAATAGATACATCTAAATCCCTTGATCTTAATATAGTTTTGCCTATTTTATTAACATTGAATTTTTTTTCTCTATCAGTTAGATCTATTGCTGATAATGTGCTGGTCTGTTGTATAAAAAACAAAATTACTTATGCTTGATGGCGGCTAGGCATTTGTGAACTTTTTTGTATAAAGTCTATATTGCTATATTTTAATGCCAGATAAAATTATATGCTTTCTACCTTTAAAATTGAAGATAAGTCATAATTTGCTACAAACGTGTATGAAAACTGTCATAATAATGCAATGAAAATTAACGCATCTAAAGTGAAAACTTAAAACATCTAAAAAGAAGATTGCTACAACTTTCTAAATCAAATTTGGAATTTGTTCAGTACCATAAAATGTTCAAAATATTTTTAAATGTTACACAACCATGAATAAACTATTGTTTTATACACAACCCCGGCCTCGTCTGGTTCCTAAGATATATACCAGGATGCAGTTATATAATACACTTTGTCATCGTGTCAATCTATTGGAGCAGCTGTTTCATTTAAATACCTTAACAATAATAAATGGTATTTCAGTTACAGTTGTACACAAACCAGTATAATTAGACTTACCTTTAAACGTGGTATTTGATATGTAAACTATTGTCTTGTTTGAAAATGTGTTTATTATTCTAGGTGAAGGCAAAGCTGTTTCACGGATTACATTATGACTGTTGTCATCAAACTTAACTGAGCTAGACTTTTCTATTTCAATAGATTGTGGTTGGTAACGGAATACTGAAAGTATAAAAAAACAACAACAAAAAATAAAAAAGTCACTGTGTTGAATTTAACTACACAGTTTCGCTCCAATATAGGCGTAAAACATTTGTTTGTTAATTTATATAAGTTTGAATATAGAAATCAACTACAGTTTCAATTAAAAAATGTAATTTGTTGTTTATTTATAAAATTCATAGTAAAGTATATTTATAGATGATTTTTTTTATTCGATACAGTAATTAGCACATGCGCAGCAACATCGTGCTCATCAGATAATAAGTATGCTTTCGTAGAAAACAGCGAGATTGATTACTTTTTAAAAGGAGTACTTTATAATAGCTTTGTCCTATTTAAAGATATACTATGCTCATCTTTGAGTAAAATATTTTAATTAAAGAAATTTGTTAAAACCTATGAAATCCTTACTGAATATATCTAATTTGAATAAAAAAACGAATTAACTATGTATTGAAAGTCGCGTTCCATTTTACAGGACAAGTAAAGTTGGTATTTTTAAAAAAAAAAACTGCCAGATTTTTAACGGCACTATAAATTCATATTGTGACAACCTATAGTGTGTAAAGTTTAAAACATGAAATATCTACTTTGTGTGAAGAGAAAACATGTTTATTTTATATTTTCAAAGAGACAGTGTAGCAATTACCAATAATTCCTATTATCAAATTTTAGCAAAGTATATCTTTAAGGAAACCCCTAAAGTGCAAGGCCCATATTTGTTTTTTTATTATAAAATCTTTTAATTACAATTTGCAAACCGGCACTAACAGTTATAAACCATAACGAAAGACGAACCATCTTTTGTTTATTTTACATTATAGTATAGTGTTTGTTTCCATTATAGTATAGTCTTTGTTTACATTCTGCAACTTTCATGACAGCTTTTGAAATTCTCTGTATATTATGTAAAAAATACATTTTTAAGAGCAATGTAACTTTCTCTAAAACACGATGAAAACATTATATCTTTAGATGAATATGAATAATCATTACAACTGAACTTGACCGAGATAAACTATGTATAAATATATGTGTCACATTTTGTGTTTATTTTAGAAGGCACATTAAAGTCTTTGTCTTTGACTTACCTGTATGAATGGTTAGGAATATTGAGACCAGTAGAGGTGTAGACAACCAAATGAATGCTCTCTTCTTTCTCTTACAAACTGTAAAATTAATATAAACTGTATCATATATTTATAATAATTTGCAAAATATAAAAATCCAGCAGATCTTACCTAAAGAAATAAATGAATCAAACACTTGAACACCTTCAAATATTTCTTAAATAAAAAAAATATCAAACAGGCACTATAGTAACCAAGATCTCATTAGTGAGAATTTCTGAGATCAGAAGATCCTTGGCAAAATGATTCAACTAACTTTGTCACTGCACGTTATCTTTTGCAGACGGATGTCGAAATTTGTGTTTCAACAAGTGTAAAAATAAAACGTTCATCCCTCCCCCCCCCCCCCCCCCCCCCAAAAAAAAAACAAAAACAAAAAAAACAAACAAAACAAAACAACACAACGACAAAAAACTTGCATATAACAGCTTTACCGTTCATAGCGTATTAATGAAATAATCCAGACAAATAAAATCTCTTTCAATATATATAACTTTTACATAGAATAGAAAACAGTTATAACGTCCATATTGTTTTAATATTATGATCTAGAGCGTACAATATCTATTTATAACACAAAATAAATCTAATGTTCAAAATAATTTTTTTTTTATATAGATCTAAATCAGCTTTAGTCCATTGAAAATTTACAAATGAATCAGTGGAGTTATTGAAATATTTTATTGTGTATATACAACTAGGGGTTTCAAATTACTCAAGTTTAAGTAAATCAAGGTCTGTGACGGAAAATGCCGAACTATTATTATACAATGTTCGAATCCAATGTATACAAAGTTGTCCTTTTCAATGAGAAGAAAAAAAGAGGACTATGGTAATTAAGATATTTTAGAAGAAGTGATTTAAAGTAAGGCTAACGATCATATGATATAATATAACTAAAATCATGGTTTTGTTAATTATTGTCTTCAATCGATTTAATTCTTTTTTACCATAGTACATACAATTTATATTAACGTTGCACATCTTTCAGTGTTGACAATAAGGGATAATATCAAACATGTAATGATTATAAAGCAAACAGGGCAGACATGATAAATTTCGCTGTTGGCGAGGCTAGAATCTATGTATTCGTAATCAGGCAAAGTTTTTGTATTACTTCATTTAGTTTATATACGTAAACAGTTAGTAGTAGCCTAACAAAATAATATATACTGTCATATTTTGCATTTAATATTTAAAGAGTCACATGTATTGTATTGTGAATGTTTATACATTTCTGAAACTATAAATATATACCCCCACCTTGCTTGAAGATAGCGTTGTTTATTTAAAACAGTACGCTTCCAGTTTCATGCATTTTTGATGAAAATTTATAAATTTAGAAAAAGATTGTAATTGTACTAAGATTGACATTTAAAAATTAAACTATAAAAAGAGTTACAATTTATGAGGTGCTATTCACTCCCAAAAAGTAGATAATTCATGCTTTAGTTCCCGTCAAAAGATAAATACAAATTGTACTGGTTATAAGCGTATTGAGTTTTTCAATTATATATAATTATAGTGATCAAAATCTAAAAAAAGAAGATAAATTGCCTGGCCGTACATATTATACGTTTGATACTGTATCAGGTTAGCAACTTTTCGACGTTATCCGCCAGTCCTTTGAACAATTATAATTAATGGTCGAGGTATTCTGATCCAGGTTCGATTCCCGTCACATTCGTTGTGATTGATCAAGAATACTTTCTACAGTCATTCGCACTATACATCTGCTCTAACATGTACATAAGTAATCAGTTCCCAGCGAAAGTGAAGGCAACTAGTACTGGGCTTGTAAGCCTGCCCAGGAACGATGTGGTGGCTGAACTGTGCTATGGTAAATTAAATGTGGCTTACTGCCGTGATCCGGAGTGAAAACTACCACCTTGGTGATCCAATTTCACCTGTGGATATACGTTTGTTTTTAGTCACCACTGCACCGGAGACTCACATATTGGCAACTCACTCCAGAAGGTGTTATTTTTTTCCTTCGAAGCAACAGCGGACCAAAATTACTCTTTTACCAGTGTAACAACACTAGGGTTTTAAGCATTATTTTATGGAACCTCATAAAGTCTTAGGTCGTATAACCTCAAGACGTTAGATGAGCGGCTATTTAATGCAACAATAAAACACATTACGGAGGGTATATAGAGAGAACATTTGCGAAATTGACTATTTGCCTTCTAATGGACATTTGTTTTCAAACAACGAGATTTAAATGTTATATATTATATCATTTATATTAAATGACATGTAACATGTGGCGTGAAACAACCGAAAGACTATTTAGAATTACCATTTTCCTCATTTTATTCTCCATATATAAACAAGAATCAAATCTGGTCCCTGCAAAAGGGAGTTTTCGCCTCAAAAATAAAAACTTGTTTTCAAAAGAATAATGTTTCATTTATTATCTTCATTCAGTGAGTACCGTTTTGCAAACTGTAATACACAATGTATCACATTCATGGGAAAAAAAATGAAATTCTTCTGAGAAATAAAAATAACAGAATTTCTGACTTTAAGATATGTAACATGGTACAGTTTACTTTCTTTTGGGTGTATTGAATAAGATATAAATTTCCGTAAATGGAAAAATATATATTTTCCTTTTGGCGGATAATTTTGTTTGAAACAATTTAATTGAATTTAGTATTATATGAATGTGCGTAATTTAGAAGCATTACGTATTGTATAACAATTATTCATAGAAGTAAATAAAATACATACCAGTCATTTTAACTAGCCCATTTATCTTACTTTTAACAATAAAACACGTTAGCAAAATTGAAATATGGTAAGGTAAATAATAAAACATATTTCAAGCATTACACGCGCATTGTTCAATTACATAATATGGTCGCAGGGTTTTTAATTACAAGAAAAATACTCGCTTCAATAGAAATCATTTCACATAATAACACGACTTACAGGGAAACAGCTGACGAGTACGAATGGGGACTGTCTCAAGATTGTAAATTAAGTCAGAACGATAACACATTATGCCTCAAGAAATATGTTAATTTACATGATTTTTTTTAAATGTATCAAACAGTCAATGTGAACAAAGAAAGAAATTTACACATTGTAAATTTCAACCACGTTAATTAAAAAGGTCAAAATATGCAAAATAGACCTTACTGCGTTTGTCACGCAGTAGAAATATGGTGATAAATACTGCAAAATCAGTCAGTCATTGTATATAAAATGTAAATCATTTTCTGAAAGTCTTAATACAATTTTCTCAATGTTGATTTTCCATGATAATAATCTTAAAAAAATAATTAACAAAAAATTGGCACATCTAGAGTCATGCAGTTCTTATGGAAAATAATCTTCAGATTTTTACTAGTGAAAATAAATCCCTGAAAACTTTGAAGTTCTTTTATGGAGTATTTCATTTACCACCGGTTAAACCAGGATCTTAAGCAAAACAGTTTCTGGACATTAGCAAAGTTCCGTATGAGACTCGAACTTTGTAAGTGCAAAGAATGCATAATCAGCGTTTTTAATCACTCAACAGCGAAGGTCAAATATGTGTATTAATATGTATATTCATAATATTAAATTCGCGTAGATTTAATTTTTTTTCTAAGAATTCAATAAATTTATTTAAAAATCTACACAAATTCACATAAACCAACCTGCCTACTATCAACAAGAGCCATGTCAACATGGCCATCCCCCGCCGAATGTGTTTGCTCATTGGAAGAATGTATATGTAGTAGAGCAAAATAATTCAATTTTAAGAGGTCTTCTGGTAATGAAAACTGATGGCTAAAGTGATAACAGATTTAAAACCTATGTGAATAGTGATGGCTAAAATAACAAAGGGCAATAACTGAAAAATAATGCAGGATAGGTTATCATTCTTGTGTGCTGCACCCTCCTCAGTAAATTCCACCTATGAGGTTTCAAGTTGATACCTTAAATACTTTTTGAGATAGGCTCTCAACAGAATAGTATGAAAAAGAACAAAGGGCAATTACTCAAAAATTATATAGGGAAGAGTTATCATTCTTGCGCACAGCATTCCTTCTCAATAAGATCTATCCACCTATGACATTTCATGTTGACATCTCATACACTTTTGAGTTATGCTCCACTTAGGTGAAAAATTAAGTATGAAAAATAACAAAGGGCAATAACTAAAAAAATATGAAAGGTAGAGTTATCATTTTTATGCACTGCACACCTCCTGAGTGAAATCTATGGACCTATGAAGTTTCATGTTTATATCTCAAAGGCTTTTTGAGTTATGCTCTGGACAAAAATTAATTTTGAAAAATAACAAAGAGCAATAACTCAAAAATTATGCAGGATAGACTTATCATTCTTATGCACTGCATTCCTCCTTAATGAAATCCATTTACCTATGAAGTTTCAAGTTGATACCTCTAATACTTTTTGAGATAAGCTCCGGACAAAATAGTATGAAAAAGAACAAAGGGCAATAACTCAAAAATTGTATAGAGAAGAGTTATCATTCTTTCGCACAGCATTCCTCCTCAATAAGATCTATCCACCTATAACATTTCATGTTGACATCTCATACACTTTTGAGTTATGCTCCACTCAGGTGAAAAATTAAGTATGAAAAATAACAAAGGGCAATAACTCAAAAATTATGACAGGTAGAGTTATCATTTTTATGCACTGCACACCTCCTGAGTGAAATCTATGGACCTATGAATTTTCGTGTTGATATCTCAAAGGCTTTTTGAGTTATGCTCTGGACAAAAAATAATTTTGAAATATAACAAAGGGCAAGGATAGAGTTATGCAGGATAGAGTTATCATTCTTGTGCACTGCACACCTCCTAAATGAGATCCATCCACCTATGAAGTTTCAAGTTGATACCTCTAATACTTTTTGAGATCAGCTCCGGACAAAATAGTATGATAAAGAACAAAAGGCAATAACTCAAAAATTGTATAGGGAAGAGTTATCATTCTTTCGCACAGCATTCCTCCCCAATAAGATCTATCCATCTATGACATTTCATGTTGACATCTCAAACACTTTTTGAGTGATGTACCACTCAGGTGAAAAATTAAGTATGAAAAATAACAAAGGGCAATAACTCAAAAATTATGAAAGGTAGAGTTATCATTCTTGTAAACTGCACACCTCCTGAGTGAGATCTATGCACCTATGAAGTTTCATGTTGATATCTCAAAGGCTTTTTGAGTTATGCTCTGGACAAAAATTGATTTTGAAAAATAACAAAGGGCAATAACTCAAAAAATATGCAGGGTAGAGTTATCATTCTTATGCACTGCACTCCTTCTCAATGAGGTCTATTTACCTATGAAGTTTCAAGTTGATACCTCAAATACTTTTTGAGATATGCTCCGACAAAAATGTCGGACGGAAGGACGGACGGACGAACGGTGCTTTTTCTTTGATCTTTATGTGGCATTTTCCCCCATTAACCAGTAAAGTTACCACATAAAACAGTCGGTTTATGGTGATTTTCTTCTTTTTTTAACCAAAATTACGGACGGAATGAAGCTCATAAACCATAGAATGTTCGCTCGGATGGACGGACGGATGGACGGAAGGACGGACGGAGACTATT